TATCGTGAACTTGTGAAAAGCAACTGTTTCCTAAGCCCTTTACGAAAACATTTGACCTTGAAGACTTAAACCCCTCCATATCTTTTCTTGTCTCTATTTTCCCCTTTCTACACTAAGGCTTGGTTCCTTTCAACCCTCTACCTTAGTCTCACAGCGTAGGCTGCTAAGGCTGGCTCTTTGCCTTACTCTCACAGGCCCCGTATTAGCTTTCCCCCATTCGAAAAAAAACAACTGAATTTAGTCAGTACTCTTCCAAAAGCAAGCTAGGTCTGCCGAGGGAGCAGCAGAATCAAAATCTCAAGATAAAATCTTTACCCTCTGCTGCTTAACCCGGAGGAGAGAGTATTGCCCTTATCTTATCAGATATCCCAGTCTTAAGATCATGATCATCTTATGACAAGGAAGGATTTTCACTTGTTCCAATCAAGAATTTTAAACTGAATTTTAAAGAAAAAAGGGAAACATACTACAGTGAGGTTCCATGGAGCTGAGAAGCAGTTCAAGGTAAGAGAAACGAGTAAAAGCTAGAAAAGAAATAAACCTGAAACTTTCAAATTTTAGAAAGCTGCACACAACAGGACAGTCTTTGCACAACCTAAATTTCAAAGGGCAGGGATTATAACAACAGATTTTTATTGAGACATACTCATGAGAAAACAGTTTATTCACATAAGATACTGGATCGTCTAGATATTGTGAAATAGTGGAAGACTATAACTAACATGTCAAAAGCATGACTGAATGGAGAACTCTCAGAGAAAGGGCACATCTTAGTGTGTATTCAATTATGTGTTTCTTAAGTAAATAAACAGATACAAAATTGATAGTTCAGCTTCTGTACCCTAGCAACAGAATGTATAATCAATCAAACATTGGAAGGAACAAAATCCCACAGTTATTACAAAATTGTAAAAATCTCTGAAAGACAGTGCCAATTATAGACATTTTAGAGGTTACCAGCTTATACCCAAGAGGGATCTTTTTATTTTGAATTGGCTGCTGCAAAGAAACATTTCTTAAGGTTGTATGTAAGCCTGGAAATGATGGTGTCTGTGTTCATCTCCTTGTTGCCTTTGGCTCACTATGTCATACTGACCAAGTGAATTAACTTGTCTCTCTCTCAAACTATAAAACATGAGTATTTTCTATCTTCATAATCTTCAGACTGCACAGCAAACTCTTTAGTGTTCATCTTCTATCAGTATAGGCATAATGAATTTCCAATTTTATTGATTCCTCTTGATGCCATAGCACACTTTAGCAATAACAGTAAGAATATCTTACTTAACAGTAAGTCATGATATACAGAGGTCTCCACATTCTCCAGCTGTGAAATGTATTCCTTAGGGAAAAAAAAAAGACTGTTCATTGATCTTCAGAGTAGCTCAGGTAACTGATAACCTGATAACACTGACAAGCATGAGGATGCCATTCAGCAAGGACTGCCTGAAATCAGAAAGATCCTGAAAAAAGCAGATAGCCCTCAGGAGTATCTGTCTTTATAAGAGGCACTGTCTGCAAAATAACAGCCTATAAAAATTCCACTAAAGGCCCATTACTACAATTGGTTAATGAGAAGACTGACTAAGCAACAGTGTTAACAGCACGAGTGGCTTCCTCCCTCCTTCTCTCCACCCCTCAGTAGCTCTTTTCTTCAGTATTTCCATCTGATCTGTTGTTATATTACACATTTGTTATATATTATTTACTTAATTATTTAATTACAGGTTTCTACCCACAGTTATTATTAACCATTACAGCAAGTTGGCACCTGATAGAGTGACACACTGTGACAGGAGCTGAGAGAGAAACAGAAGAGTAGAGCTAAAAGCAGAGAACTAGGAGAAAAGATAGTGGGGAGAAAACATGAGAGTGAAAGCTCCACAGAACTGGCATTCTTTACAAATGCAGAAAACAAATTTTGGGGTTCTTACAAGAATAAGAACTCTGTGCTTTCTTAGAGACAGCAGGAGATGGTGTTCTTCAGCTTCTGAAGGAGGAGTGGAAAACAGCTTATTTCTTAATGATTCAGGGTTAGAGGCAAGAGATTTAATGACAGAAAATAAACTCTTATCACCAGCTGTACTGGATTAGCCCAAAATTTACCATAGCCCAGTCTACAGCACTGGCCAGAAAATCCTATGAAGGAGCCTGATAACAGGGTCAAACACAACGATGCTTCCCTGTTATATTATCCCAGGGATCAGAAGCCCTTGAGGCGAGGCTGACATCTTCACGTTGAGTCGGCTGGAGAACGTGAGCCTCTGCCACAGAGATGTGTCTAGCTTTGCACTTCCAGAAAGAACAAGGCTTTCACAACACTGCTGTTTTGTAAGGGGTCAAAATTTGATTTTTTTTTAATGTGAATCTGAGGATTTGATTCAAATATGCATAATGGGAATTAGAATGGGAAAAAAAATAAAAAAAAAAAAACAGAAAAAAAAGTTTCCAAGCAGAAGTTTTCGAGAGCGATAGATGGCACAGATGAAGGGAACAAAACCAATGCTAAGCAATACCAGTCCTTGGAGGAGCTGTTGCTTTTCCAAGAAACAAAACCTGTTTTAAAATGTCTATAGAAAAGGACTACACCTAAAAAGAAGCCAAGCTATTCTCTGAACAGTGCAGAACCTGTAGAAACTGTTCCGGGGGAAATTGCTTCTAGCAACTAATAAATCATCTGGAATATTGTTGAGACCTGTTTTTCCAAAAATTATGTGCTGATGTACAGGATAACATGACAGTAGAAGATTTGAGGAGAAAACATGAGCTGCCATACGCTAAACCAGTAGAACTCCAGCACACATGAGAAAATCACTCTACTGAGAGTATGTGTAAGTCTGTGTGAAAGCAAGAGGGAAATGTCAAGATTCGTCTCAGGAACTAGATCAAAGTTTAAAGCTTGTCAGACTCGACAGTCCATAAAGATTAGTGTCCATAGGAAGACAACGGCCCATAGAGACTGAAGAAAGAAGCAGCAGAAAAATCAGGACTAAACATAAAAATAGCAAAGGAAATGCCAGATTTGGGGAAAAACTCAGGGGAAAATATCACTTTATGTGGGTTGGGTCCTTTATTGCCCCAAAGTCCCACCAGGTACCCGGAGGGGCAGACAGGCAACCACGTGGGTGCTGAGCTGGGCGCCAGGGCAGCCCCTCTCCGGTTCGGTGTGTCCAGGACAGGCTGGCAGGAGCCAGCCTGAACTATAAAATGGCTCAATCTTCTTCAGCAGACGGAACCCACAGGGTGCTTAATGTCTGTAGGCAGGCACTTGGGAATATTTAACAGTCAGGTGCATCTTACAGAGTGAAAAGAGCCTTTATATCTAATCTAAGCAGTAACTAGACATAAGCTGCTTTTCACTTAATTTTTCTCCATGTGCTCTAAAAGCATTGCAATTATGCTGTTTGTATTTCAATTTTTGTACTTCTGTTTCTGATTTTCCACTTCCCACATCCTGGCTCGTGCCAGTGTGAGCATGGCAACAGCGCAGCATGGTAAACATTAAGACTACCCCTTCTACAGATGTGGCAGTCTTGAGATGTTTCCATAGTGCCCAACAAAACCACATGTTTTCTACAAAGCCACACAGGAAACAAAATGCTCCTTTTTTTCTCTGCATGAATATTTGGGCCTTAGCAATATGGGAGGGATAGAGGCATCTTCCAGGGGCAAATATTATTCAGGTCAGCATTAGGGCAGAGGGAGAAATGGAATTCAGAAGGTACTTCACCAAAATGCAGTAAGAGGTTTTCTGGGCAGCTCACTATTTTCCCACCCTTGTTACTGGGTCAAATTTCCTCAAAGCTGATTCCCAAAGGAAACTTGCTGAGATTATTAGGCCCTTGCACCTGTCCACCTGGTATGGCTCCCATGGAGAGCAACAGCACAGAACCGTGTAGAACACATCAGGAATTTCTCAGAGCACTGACAAAAATCAACTGCTAAATCCACTGCTCTGTATCAAGTCCTTTACGAAACATGACCCTCTTTGATGTAAAGTTAAGGGAGCTTTTTGCATCTTAGAAGATTAATCTAACAGAAAGCATATGAATATTATGCTCATTGCTTAGTGTGTTGATTCTCTGTCCTGAAAAGTGTAGAAATCCTTCCTAATACTTGAAAAAGTCAAGTGCAAATCTCACACTGATAAGAAATATCCCAGGGGAACATACTTTATAGAAGCTCATCTCCTTGATGCTTTGTCCTTCAGTCTGCTCACAGTTTTGGCACCGTTTTATGTGAACTTCAGAAAACATAAGGCCTTTCTAAAAAACAAGAGACCATCTGTAAAGCCCTCAGAAAAACTTCAGCTTTATTTCTATGTGACAGGACACCATAGCTACACAGTAGAAGTCTTTTTTTTTTAATTTATGTAGACTAATGCTCAAAAAAAAAAAAAAAAAAAGAGGAATGGAAGGAGAGGTGCACTGAGCTCTGTTGCAGCCATGACTTGTTACCTGAAGATTTATCTGATGTGATGCAATACAAAAGCACAATTGGAGGCATCTCAAAGCCACGTGAGATTAGTCCTGCTGCTGGCTGCATGACCTACCAGATCTTCTCGGACCACACGGTGGGAATTTCTGGTCTAGCTCTTTGCAGTAGCTCCTTGTACTTCGTTTTCTAGGACATGTATTTGAAGCAAGTTAGGGCTCCATGTCTGCTTTCTGGAACAGGTCTCATCATTTGTTGCTTTGGTGCTTGGGCTGTTTAGGAGCAAGGTAGCTATTCTAGAGTAGCAGGGTGGAGAAGACCTGTAGTGGCCCAGGGTCTCCAAAGCCTGTAACAGGGAGCTGCGACTGCCCTGGGCAACCAGCAGTGGTACAGAACAGATGTCCTCAGAGCATCCCTAATGCACGATGTCCCTGCCAAAGAATCCCCCCCAAAAAGGAAGACATGTTTGGGCAACAAAGACACTCTGATTTAGCCAGCGCCAGGTCTAGATGCCTGACAAGTCTCAAGAGGTAAGCAAACAGAGGAACACAAGGAGGAAAAAAAAAAAAAAAAAAAAAAAAAAAAAAAACCTTTTTTTTGTGCTTTTTTTTGGATAGACTTTCCGTCTTTTCCATTTCTCCTACTTCTATATTGCAGGACATCTCCTTCCCTAGCTCAAGCTATCCTCACATCCCCTGCACAGGTTCTAGCCGTGCCTTCAATAGCTTTTCTTCTCTCCTGTTTCAGTGATTTTCTTGGCAGCTTGTTAATTAAGTGGGATCGTACTAAATTCCCTTTTGGTGCGATTGTGAAATATTGAATAACATCAGAGATTTTCTCTGAACTGTAACAAATAGTTGGATCCAAATCAGAAAGCAATCTGAGATTGAATTTGAGATGCCTGTGAGTATGAAAGAAAAAGAGATAGATTGTTTTCTCCTGAAGTCACAGCTAACAGTTGACAGAAGACGTTCCTTTCACAATGACTTATTGCAGAAATGAAGGATAAAAATTAGTGCAAATGAGAACTTACATACCTATTCTTCCTCAAACCAAAAGCCACTCTGTCCCTTCAGGGCTTCTCTGTCCCTTCATAACTTCCTTGTTTATGTAATCTGGGTGTTGTGTTCTTGCCAGTTGCATCTCATTTTGCACATCTCCAAGCATCCTAACTTGCAATTTTGGTTCAGTTCTGCCTTTGCTAGAAACAACAACAAAGAACAAAACGCACTAGTATTCTCTAAGAAGGACAAAGATCTGCCTGCAGATACTCTGCAGGCAACTGAAGTCTTTGTGGCACTTAGCCCCCAGTTAGCAAAAGCCAGAAACCAGCATGTTCCATCGGTAGCTTTTTGCTCAAAAGCATCTGTTTACAGAAAGGCACTTGTGTGCCAAACAGAGAGAAGGACAAGTGCCAGAAGGAAAATGCCAGAAGATTGGCATGTTCCAAGTTAACTGATTTTTTTTTTATTTTATAACATAGGAAATACAATTTGAGTTAGGTCACCTAATATAAACATTTTAAAAATAGAAACTAAAAATCACAGTGCCTCATTATAAACGTGTGAGGTTTTGTCAACACTTTTAGATATTATTCTTTATTTCACTTTCACTAAGTCTATCCAAAATGTTTGAAACCCCATTCTTAGGAAACACTGGCCTACTTTTTCCTGTCATCTTTATACCTTATGCTTTGGATTCAAATTGATGTTTTCACATTCAGTATTATTCTTTTATATACACAAACAACGTGTTAGCAATTAATGTGCCAGTAGACAGTGCTCAAAAACACCCTGCACAAGTCTCACTTTTTTAACAGGTATTAGAAATCTGTGCACTGTTACAGAGATATTCCCCTTATGTAGCTCTTAAGCTTTCCTACACAATGATCTGTGCCTGACAGATCAAGATGTTTTGTTCATCAGCCTACCTATGTTTTCTATTTAGCTCTCATGAGTGATACTCCAATTTCTTCTAAAATTTCTCCTGTTCAGCACTCCGGTCATGGACTAAAACCTGATGTGTTGTCTGAGGGTGGCCTATGTCCAGCTGCCAGGAGGACTGGATCTCAGCTTTGGAGCATCCTTTCCCCACAGGATACATCATTGATGGCAGTGATTCCCGGCTAACTGGGCACCAATGGGATCTCCTTGCGTAACAATCCTCTTCCTTCTGCCATGTCCCTGCACAGCCTCCTGAGGAGCTGCTGTCTGGTCTAGGCTATGGGTCAAAGCCACCAAAGGATGATGTAAGGATAAAGCCAATTTCCTGTACTTTACCCTTAAACTCATCTCCTCCAAAAAACAGAAATGCCGTAAGTAGGTGCAGCATTGCACAGACCAGTAATCATAACTGAAGAGCTGTGCAGAATCTCCAGCTCAAGCTGCGAACTCAGACCAATGAAAAGATATGCTACGCTATGACCAAGAGCGTCCCTCAGGTCTCAGCACCCTTCCAGAGTCCCAAGAATCTTCCAAATCGTAGCAGAAAAAGGAGTCCATTCTTACTCATCTGAGACCACAATTTGAAGGCAGGCAAGAACCAAGGCTGACATCTACTTCATATCCTGAAGGGGCTTTAACTTCAAACAAGAGTCTGCAAAACTTTGCAGCAGCATTGCATACGATTTCAAAAGCCAAAAAGAGTTGCTGGGAATACAGCTCAGGCAACATACTCATATTGCAACACTTACTCTGAGAGCCATTACTTGGGGTTGCAATGCATGAGGCATTCCCTGCCCCAGTCTGTTTCTGCATGGGAGTAGTGAGTGAAACAACATCAAGAATATGTTTCATCCATAATGATCTGCATATGTGAGTGGCAGAGCTTGAAAACTGAGCGGGCATATGATCTTTCCGACAGAGAAACAGCAGCAACAAGCAGGGCTTGCTCTCTGTGATCCTGGATGGGCTTTAAAGCTGCGGAATGCTCATGATGCAGCTTAGCAATCCCATTTCCAATTAGCCAGCCCATTGTGCTTGAAAACAGGAAGATAAAAGAAGGGAATTCTTTTTATTTCTACACATATGGGATGGCTCTTTTCATCATCTTCAAAGAACCTTCATCAAAGCCTTCCACTTTCTCCAGCAGGACCTGAGAGCAGCACACACCTCTGAAAGGAGAAAAACCCCCATACCTCACTCGCTCGCTGCTTACACTGCTCTGACCACAACACAGCCCCCGTGCCCACGTCTCCACCTGCCCTCTGCACCCACTGCTCGCCCTCTGGAGTGAAACATGCCAAGACTGGGTGATTTTAAAGGTAAACCTGCCTCCTAGCAGGGGTCAGTGGAGCAGATAAGGCAGGAGAAAAGCCCTGCGCAGCTCTGAGCTGCAGCTTCGCTCCCACCGCCTTCCCTCTTCCACGCTCTCCATCTCCTCTTCCTCTGAGAGACATTGCCTCCAAGAGGCAGGTTTGCTTGCTGCTGGCTCTGCCTTCTTAGAGCGGCTGGCACCTTCATCCCTCCTTGCATCCAGAATTTGGCAGCTGCCGTCCCAAACTCATCCTTGTACAGAGGAGAGTTGGAAACGCACTGATCTTGTTCTGGCTATGCAAAGAAAACTGTGGGTTTCTTTTCCAGTAAGACCCTGATGTTAGCAGCTAAGCCTCCAAAAAAAAGAAGGAAACACGCGGGAGAAAGGCTTCCTGCCATGGAGATCTGCGGATGAGGTGCCACCAGGGAGTGACGATGCCTGCAGCCCCGCAGGCCCTTCCGCCTGCCGCCATTTTGTGCTCCCGTGGGCTGAGCGCCGCCATGTCATTGGCTCCTCACCCCTCCTCAGAGAGACCTCCAGGGTTTCAAAAAAAAAAAAAAAAGATCTATTTCTTTTTTTTCCTGATACTGGGTTTCACTAGATCTCAACCTCACAGGCACTGTGCATGTAGTGCCCTGGCTCCTCTATCATATTACCAAGAGCTGCACAGAGCCTCAGGGGCCAACGGCCACTGCTTTTCCGACCAGTGGCTGCTGGAAGTGCTGCTGCTTCCAGCACTGAGAGTGGGGTGGTTGGAGCAAGCTTCCCGTGATGTTAATCCAAATAGCCCTTGATGCTCACAGTGCAGAACAGCAACAGTGTTGCCACCTCAAGAGGGGGTACAGAAAATGCCCCCTGTGTCCCCTAAAATGGACGGCAGCCTGAGAGTTAAGACACCATGTCAGTATAGGTGGTGTTGACAGGAGCTGCTCGGGGACACTGTTCACGGACATCCCTGGTTGATAGCCCCAGGCTGTAGGTTCCTGTAGAAGGTAAAAGCAAACTCTGAGGATAAGCGCAATTTTTAAATGATGCCTTTCTTTGAAGCATATCTCAAAATGGAGGTTGAAAACAACCATCTGCTCAATTTCCCCAGGCATTTTTTGGACTAATCACATTAGTGAGAGCTGAAGGCATATCTTGGTGTAATGGCCCAAATCAGGACATTTCTGGCTCTGCTCAGGCACATCAAGACATCTCTGTGTTGAAGCTCATTACTGAATGGCAAGCAGCAGCTCTAGCTGTGCCAGACAAATCACAGAGTCAATTTTTCAGCTTAATTTGACTAGATTTTTACTCACATTCGATTTGCCAAGAGACGCAGAGATGTCATAAGCAGAAGCAGAGCTCTGGCTGCTTTAGGGGTGTGGGAGCCAAAAGCGGGGACTTTTACAGGGTGCCTGGGCCTCTCTTGCTATGTAGGAGCTGAGCAAGGGTTTGTATTTCTTTGTATTTCTTTTAAGCATCTTAATAACATCTTGGTCTTGTTGTAAGAGCCTAAGTCCTTAAAGGGATCTAGGGTGTTTGCTTTCAGATGACCTGCATTTTGCAGTGAAGCGTTGGGTAAGTCAGCACCAAGCCCGTGCATCTCCACGTGTCTCTGCCTGCAAAGCATGCCCCTGAAAAACTGACCAGTGAGTCTGAGGCTCAGCGGACTTGGCTCGGATACTGGCAAAGGACCTCTCTGAGGTACCCCAGGACCTGAGAAGTCAGAGCTGGTGGTGGCAGCGGGGAGCAAATTCAAACTCTCAGCAGGTCTTCAAGGCGCAGGAAATCAAGGCTTGAGACCCCAAGTCTCTCCACAGACTCCAGATGCTGGACAAACACTCAGAGGTTCAACTGGAACGTCCCCAGGGCAGGGTAGTGACCTGGCAAGTGTCTGAGAAGGATACTCACTAGCCTCATTGTATTTTATTTTCTTAGTAGTTTAGAAAAATATATATTTTTTTCTTTTAACATTTTGGATGAACCAGCACACTCTTATTTTCAGAAACCTGTCAGAGACAGGGCCACAGCTGATTCTGCTGGGCAGGATCTGGTAGCCAGTGCTGACCCACTCCAGGACGAAACAAATCTCTACCAGCAACACAGCACATCTAGCAAACTTCCCTCACCTGCCAGCAGCCTGAATCATGCCGGCCAGCTCATCCTCCAGAGATAAACAAATAAATAAATAAATAAAACGATTCTGCCTCTAACTAAGGAAGAGTGTTTGCAGTGTTTTATCAAACATTGAGACCAGGTCTAAGTTTCCTTGGTTAGGAACGGCAGCTATTTTAGCAGCGTCGCTGGTTTTGCATGGAGCAATAGTGGCATCTAGTGATCACACCTAGAAGCACCCCG